GCAGAGGCTAATCCCGGGAAAGGGGCAGAGCGGAGCGGGAGGGAGGGAGGACACTGGCAGGGCCAGTAGACACAGCCGGAACATCAGCGCCCTGAGAGCAAGAGCCAAGCGGGTGGGTTCTTAGACACACCTGGCGGTAAAGGATCATGCTAACTGACATACTGGGATCTTGTGAACCAGTTTGTTTAAAACCGTGTTTGCTGCTTTGAAAAGGTAAAATGTTTAAAAACGTGTCTGTTGCTTTGAAAAGATAAGATAAAAGATTTGTGAAGGAGCACAGGAGGCGTCACTAAGGGACTGTCCCATTGGGACTCTGCTTCAGCTCGTCCCCTCTCTTTCCTCCCTCTTTAGGGTCCACCTGCTCCCCCCCCCCACCATGGGCTCAGTCTCTGGAGAGAATCTTGTGCCTCCATTCTCTAAGGAAGGCAGCTAGGGCTGGAGGGCAGCTGGGGCACAGAGGGCCCTGGGTTAAAGAGCGGCTTGTTGTTTGAATCATGGTAAAATTGGAGCCATCTCAGTTCACGGAGCACTTCCATACATCCCACCTCCTTCCCTTTCCTTTCGAGCTGGGATCAATGATTATTGCTCTCAGACTCTTCCATGGCAGGGGGCACCAGGGGCACTCCCAAAAGAGAAAATGGTAAGTGCAAAGGTCCGGGGTGGGCTCAGAAGGGTGGCTCGGACAGTCACCTGGTGTGACAGAGGAGGGAGCTAGGGAACAGGAGACCTGCTAGGCCTGCCAGGAATGTGGAGCTTCTGGCCTCCGCAGGCTCTGCTGGCACCTGCATGCCTCGCCAGTCCCCAGCCTCCACCTCCATGGGGCCTTCCTGCCTCGAAGTCTCCTGATTTTCCTGGGAACAGAGAGGCTGCTCAGGCAAGTCACGTTGCCTCTGAGCCTCAGTTTGTTTGTCTGTGCAATGGGATAATACTCCTGAGGCATAAGGCTGACGGAGGGCCAGGAAAGCTGAGGGCAGGGGCTGGAGAAGCATGGGTGGCTTTCACTCCTCCTTCTCTCCTGTTTTACCTGTTGTGCAGAGCTCCTTCTACCTCTCCCATGGCCCAGCATGTTCGCCACGAGGTTCACAGAGGGGAGGCTTGCCTTTTCAACCAAGGCAGGAGCTATCCACACCAGGTCAGCTTTTAAGAAGCATTTAGGCCAGGCGTGGTGGCTAACGCTTGCAATCCCAGCACTTTGGAAGGCTGAGGCAGAAGGATCACCTGAGGTCAGGAGTTCGAGACCAGCCTGGCCAACATGGTGAAACCCCATCTCTACTGAGAATATGAAAAAATTAGCTGGGCACGGTGGCCCATGCCTGTAATCCCAGCTACTCGGGAGGCTGAGGCAGGAGAATCGCTAGAACCAGGAGGAGGAGGTTGCAGTGAGCAGAGATTGCACCATTGCACTCCAGCCTGGGGCCAAGAGGGAGATTTCGCCTCAAAAAAAAAAAAAAGAAGTGCTTAAGGCGGGTGACAGCCAAGCGTGGAGTTATTCTGAGCACTGGGTATGTGTGACTACATAGGTCACACACCCATGACAGCTAAGGGCTCGGGCACACCTGCTTTGGAGCCAGGCCAGAGTCCAGGTCTTTCTGACTCTCAGGCAAGAGGGCTTCCCCTGTATCAAGCTCTCTCCTCACACGACTGGGGGACCAGCCAACTAAGGAGGGGTGGAGTGGGGCAAAGACGTTGGCAGGGCCCTAAGGATTCCATTCCCAGGCTTCCACAGGCAGCTGGACAGTGGGGCCAAGGCCGCAGACACATCTCACCCTTCTTGGTGGCTGCCGCTGGGTAGGCTGGGCAGAGAGTGCTGCAGGGTGGCCCTGCCCCTATCCTCCCATACACGCATGCACACACACGCACACACGTACATACATGCACGCACACACACATACACACATTGGGGTGCTTGGACAGTGGGGATATACTTTTCCTTAACCTTACTGTGATCTCTGTTTAACTCCAGATTATAGAAGTAAATTAATTGGACGTTCCCACATCTCAGGCTTAGAAACTGCCTTCTAAGTCTCACTCACGTCAGACTTCATGCTTACACTTTTGTTCTTTTTTTTTCTTGCTCTGTCATCCAGGCTGGAGCGCAGTGATGCAATCACAGCTCACTGTATCCTTGAACTCCCAGGTTCAGGCGGTCCTCCTGCCTCAGCCTTCCGAGTGGCTGGGATTATAGTCATGCACCACCACACCCAGCTAATTTTTGAATTTTTTTGTAGAGATGGGGTCTAGCTACATTGCCAGGCTGGTGCACACACTTTTATACTTGTATTCAGTTACTCTTCTAGCAACTTTTCTAACAACTTTTTTTTTTTGAGATGGGGTCTCACCCTATTGCCCATGCTGGAGTGCAGTGGCAAGATCTCAGCTGACTACAACCTCTGCCTTCCAGGTTCAAGTGATCATCCTGCCTCAGTATCCCAAGTAGCTGGGCCCACAGCTGCCCACTGCCCCAATCAGCTAATTTTGGTATTTTTCATAGAGATGGGGTTTTGCCATGTTGCCCAGGCTGGTCCAGAACTCTTGAGCTCAAGCAATCCACCTGCCTCAGCTTCTTGAAGTGCTGGGATTGCAGGCATGAGCCATCATGCCCAGACCCAAGAAATATTTCTGGAGCACCTACTACAAGGCTGACCCCACACTGGGCTCTGTGGCTACCATGTCTGGCACGTTCCCCACCATCGGCTCCTTAAGGAGAGGGACGGGATCGCACTTCCAGCTCCAGTACTAGGAACTGGCAAGCATGTGCCACATAGTAGGCACACACTCAGTAGTTGGTTGCTGCATGAATGGCAATGAAGACAATTTAATCAATACCAGCAATTTGTGAATAAACAAAGTCTTTACCTATTCTATCCTCTTGATTGTATTGTCTTTCTAAAAATCATTATTTTGTTATTTCGTTTAAGCTCATGACAACTTGTGAACTGGGTACTATTAGAATGCTCACTTCTAGAAGAGGACTCAGGGAGGTTAAGTAGGTGCCCGGGCTCACACACTTAGCTCACAGCATAGCTGGAATTGCAGCTATCTCCATCTTTTGGCCCCTGGAGTCAAAAATCACCAAGGAAGCAGATGTAAAGGTTGAGCACTCATGATGCGTCCGATGCTGCTTTGGGTTCTCTGTCTATAGACCGTTGATGTACTTATTAACCCCATTGTTGAGATACTGTGCACACATGGAAAAACACACATATCTTCTTCTTCCTCTTTTTTTTTAAAATAGAGACAGGGTCTTGCCATGTTGTCCAGGCCAGTCTAGAACCTCTGGGCTCAAGCAATCCACCTGCCTTGGCCTTCCACAGTGTTAGAATCACAGGCATGAACCCAGCAGGCACATGCATCTTGACTGCATAACTGGAGAAGTCATCACAAACTGAGCACTGTAACCAGCACTCAGACCAAGATACAGAACACAGCCAGCCCCCAGACATGCCCTCTGTGCCCTGCTTTCTGGCTCTGGCACCCCTCCCTGCAAGGGTAACCACTATCCTGACTGCTACCACCATATATACCTTCTACCACCTTATCCACATGGAAATGTATATGTTTTTTATCCTCTGGCTTATTTTGCTCAACATCATTTGTGAGAGTCATCCATGTTACCATGTGCAGCTGTAGGTTATTCACTGTCATTCTGCTTTGTGACTATATCACAATTTACCTATCCATTCAATGGCTGACAAACATTTGGGTAGTTTCCAGTTTGGAGCAATTATAAACAGTGCTGCTAGCAACAGGAATACGATGTTACCTGTGTACCTAGGAGCAGAACTGCTGAGTAATCAAGGCCTTTTAAGAAGATTTTGAAGGTGGTTGTACCACTTTGCCTTCCCACCAGCAGTGTCTGGGAGTTCCAGTTGCTCCACTTCCTTGTCAACACTTGATATTGTCAGATTTTCCCATTTGGGATGCTTTGGAGATGCTACTGCACACTTCACTTCTAGATTCTTTTAGCAACTGGTAAGAGGAATCTTATGATTTCTATTTTACAGATGAGGACACCATCGTTCTGAGAAGTGAAGTAATTCCTCCAAAGCCATTTAAACCCCGGCAAGGGCAGAGGGCTAGGACGTTCACAGGGTTGACCTCAGTCCATCACGTCTGTCTATTAAAGTAGTCTACCCAGACCTTGTCTTGATGGGGCTTCCCAGCAGCCCTGCGGTAGGGACTGCGGCTATTCTGCACGTGGGGAGAGACGGATCAGTGCCCCCGGCAAGGGCCAAGCCTGAGAGGGAGGCCCAGCCTCCGGAAGCTCCACGTTGGGTCTTCGTCCTGCCCTGCCCTCCAGGTTGGAGAGAGGGCCGGAGGGACGTTGGGGGAGTCAGGGACGGGGGTGGCCCGGGACCAGGCAGGAGGTGTTCGGAGGGTGGCAGGGAGGGGAAGACGGGAGAGTTTTCCTCTGCAGCGGAGGAGGGGCTGCAGCACTTAGATGGGGACAACCTCGCCGCGCCACAGGCAGGGGGGGCAGGGGGGACAGGGGGGGCGGGGGGGCGGGGGGGCAGGGGAGAAAGGTGCTTGCCAAGGGGCTGGGCTGCCGGAGGGCGGGGCCACGCGGCTGGCAGGATCCCTCTGAGAGAGAGGGGAGGAGCGGGGAGAGAAGGTGGGGGCGTGGGGGCGTGCGGGGGCCGCCTCCTGCGGCTGCAGAGAGGGATGGGGTGGATTGGGGGCCAGTGCTTTGGGGGACAGGGGGCAAGCCGGGGCGGGGGCGTAGCGGGAGGAGGGCAGGGGCGGGGCGGGGCTAGGCCCGGGGGCGGGGCCACGACGGGGCGGGGGCGGGAGCTGCGGCGCGCGCGGGGGCGGGGCAGGGGCGCGGTAGGGCGGGGCTGCCTCTCGGGGGCGGGGCTGGCGGCGGCGGAGGCCAATAGGCGCGCGCGGCGCAGACCCCGCCCCCGAATCCCGGTCCCGCGGCGGCGGGTGCTGCATAGTCATGAGGCGCAGGGGCCGGCGCTGCGTCAGCGGAAGCGGCGCGGAGCGGCTGTTTCCGACCCGATAAAGCGGCGTTGTCCCCGCGCGCCGGCCGCAGCCTCGCAGCGCTCCCTCCGCGCCCGCGTCGCTGACTGACTGACCCGCCCGGCCGGCCGGCCGAGGGAGCAGCCCCCGCCCGGACCCGCCGCCGCCGCCGCAGCCCGACCCCCGTGCGCCCGGGGCTCCGCGCCCCCGCCGCCCCTGCCCGGCCCGGCCGGAGGAGACAGGTGAGTGGCCCGGCCCGCCACCCCCTGCACCCCGCACCTGGGCGCCGGGCATCTGCCGCCTCTCCACCCCCGCCTCCCGCACGGCCTCGGCCTCCAAGCCGGGTCCGCGCCGCAGCCCCAGCCCTGCACCTTCTTCTCCGGGGGAGGGGACCTGCCTCGACCCGGCCTGCGCTGGCTCCTCAGGGCCCCCATTCCTTCCCGCCTCCTCTTCCCGGACTGCACCTGCTCTGGTCCCCAGCCCTGCAGCCTCCCTGACCCCCCTCGGCCCCCACCCCGTGGCGCGCGCCTTCATTTGGACCCGGCCCGCTTTCGCACTCATCAGTCCCCCCGACCCCAGGTCCTCGGATGTCTCCACCCAGAGAGGAGCTTGGCGCCCCTGACTCCTGGTCCTGACCCTGCCCTGCCCTCCTCACCCTTGCCTGCTGTCTCTAACTTCTGAGAATCCAGCCCGTGACCCACCGCTGGCGAAGTGGCCCCCTCGCCCTTCTGCCTGTACCGGTCCTCCCAACCGAACACACTTCCTTCTTCCCCTTCCCCCTCCCCTTCTTTCCCACCCTCCCCTCTCCCCGGTGCGCGCACGCTCCTCGCAGCACTGCTAGCCCGTGTCCCCCACCTCGGACCCCCAGCCTGCACCGCCGGACTGTGGCGCTGCCCTGGTCTCATGGACACTGCCCTCCCGTGTGTCCCTTTGAAGACACCTTGATTCCCCGAGGCCGACCTTGTTCCTGCAGGAAAGAGGCCAGGGCGTCAGTGCGTCCAGGCCCAGAGCCCCTGCTCTGTGGAAGTCCCTGCATCTTTGCGTCTCAGCACCCCCTGTCCTTTTCCCCTTTGAGCTTAACCCTTTCCTCCCCCAGGTGTGTGCTCTGGATTGGAGCACATCCAGCAGAGGCTTTTCCAGCGGAGGCCGATCCACACGGGGCCCAGCCTCCTGGTTAGCTATTCAGAATGATTCTAGAAGGCCGGGGCTAGGGAGGGTTTGGAAGGGCCACTTGACCACCTAAGGAGCCTGAGGGTTTTGTGTCTCTCCAGTCTGGGTCACCGAAGGAGTGTGGCTTCAGGTTCACAGACCTAGCCACTGACTCCCATCTGATACCTCAGCTGACTCCAGCAAAACAGGGCTTGTCATTTTTATTATTACTGTTACTGAGGCTGTTTTTTTCCAGTCTAGGACCTGGAGCGAGGAGGGTTTACCAGATGAGTGATTGAAGTAATTGTTGTGGGGTCAGATGATTCTTGTGGGCTGGCAGATTCCGAATCGAAGCCCATTTTGCTGAGGAAAAGCGCCGCTGCATGTGCCCGGGGTACTGAGAGCGCCCTGCACTTTCGCTCCCCACATGGTCTCATGCTTCCTGTGCCATGGGCGGACAGGTAGATCGTGCTGGGAATCTTTTCCTGCTGTTTTGTGCTGGTTTTAAGGAAAAGTAAGAAAACGAAAAGTTGGAGTATTGGCGTACAGGCTAGGGAGTGTAACACATGGCAGCCAGAGCAGGTAACACCCACGGTCCTTTAAAAAAATGAATAATTTCCTCACCTTTTTGCTAGGTTTGAACTGCGTGTTAAAAGGATGAGCAGAGATGATTTAATGCTTGGGAGAGGTTTAGAAGAAGCCACTTGAGGCTGAGGAGAGGCAGCCGTCAGGTTCGGGTGGAGGAGACTCAGGCGCAGTAAAGAATTCGTGTGCTTCTGGAGAGGCTGGGGAACGAACTAGGTCGGTTTACACATCAAGGGTTTCCCACCCATTCAGACTAATTGTTTTTGTGGCAGTGGCTGTAAGGAAAGGAGCAGATCGTTGGAAATGTGTTTGAAATACACACTGGGTATTTAAAGATGTATTTTTGTGGCCCAGGTGTTCACCGGGCAGGGAGGGGGAAGGCTGCCCGTGGCCTCCTCCCGGGGCTCGTGGGGGGAGTGGCCTGCTGCCCTGCCGAGGTGCCTGCTGCAGCTTCGGCCCTTTCGCATCCTGAAAGCAGATCAGAGATTGGACTGGGTGAGCTCCAAGGTGTCTTGCAGCATGTAACACCCTCTAACTTTGCTTATTGGAGAGGAGGGGGTGGGGGAGGGGCGGAGCAATCCTGTAAACCGGATTCTGCCTCCTTTCCGTGAGCCTTGAGATCCCGCCCCAGTCCTCCCCGATCTGCAGGGGAGGAGAGGGCTGCGGCAGCTCCCCGCTTTCCCAATGGAGGAAAGGCGCCGAGGAAGGTATTTCAGCCCATGTTGAGGCTCTTGGTGGTGAATGGATTGTATCTGTGTTGTCAGGAGCGCGGAGGGGAGGACAGGGGAGCGCAGCGCTGAGGCTCGGGCTGTGTGATTGTCGTTCTGACAGTGGTGCAGCCTACCCCGTGCCCTCTCCCACTGGTCCCTAGGGCCCGGAAGCCCAGTGGCTGGCTGGGGTGGTTTGTGACCGACAGCCTCATGGCCTGGCACCAAGTGAGGGTGACTGGCAAGCACTGTAGGTGGCAGGCAACCCCAAATTGCCAGTGCCCTCCTTGGGAACACCCCTGGCAGAGTCATGTCTGTAATTTGTGGAGCCAGAATGTGCTGGAAGCCACGTTCCTGCTAATGATGGGTGAGGACTGCTGCGCGCTAGCCTCCTCAGCTTCCCCAGGTTTTCATCACTGCGTAATTATGCTGACGAAGCCACACGTACTGAGACACCATCAGAAGGTTGTCTCCACCTGAGCCGAGAAACAGATCTGACCAGAGCAAACCTCCCAGCTGAAGAGCAGCCTTGTGGAAAGGAAGGGGCGAGAGAGGACCCCAAAAGCAGGCGTCTGCCGTGGGTTTTGCTGCAAAGGACCTGAGCGGCTGCACCTCCCCCACCCACTCCTAGACAAGGTCCCCTTGTTTAGATTAGCTTAATTACCCCACCACAATCAATGAACAAGGATCTTTTTAACTGTGAAACTTTCAAAATGTGCTTCTAGTGGCCTTTCCCCCCCACTATCAAATGCTAAGCCTTTGTGAAACCAGGCAGTTTCAGAGGACTGGGAGGCCTCTCGAATTTTCATGGAAATGAATCTTCTCTACCCTGAATCAGGAGGGGCCTGCCCAGGCCCTGTCGTCATTTTCAACCCCTTGCCATTTGGGTGAAGGTGACAGGAGAAATATCTAGTGGAGGTCTCCTAGCGTTTGTGACGTGACCTCCTTGGCAAGTGACTTTTGGAGGAGGCATTTTAAGAAGATTAAAACATCCGCGGACTTAGAGGGCAGCCACACAACCCACTTAGTGCTTCATATCCCTGGTAGAGTGGCTTTTTGAGAGCCGTGGATGGGTCGCTATTGTTCCCACCTCAGACGACGTGGGTGTTAATGCCCCAGAAAGACCGGGCAGTCGGTAGGGGTCATTTGTTAAGTGCCACTAGTTAGACTGCGGGAAGCAGCACAGAACCCTGATGGTGGAAAGAAGGGCCCTGAGTTCTCCCTGGCTCAGCTGCTGTGTAGTTTTGGGACTTCAGGTGAGAAGGGGAGGCGTTCGAGCTCTCTGGCTTCCTTTTATTTTTTTTTCTTTTGAGCCTTAGTCTCACTCTGTCACACAGGCTGGAGTGCAGTGGTGCAATCTCGGCTCATTGTAGCCTCTGCCTCCCAGGTTCAAGCGATTCTCCTGCCTCGGCCTCCCAAGTAGCTGGGACTACAGGTGCATGTCACCACGCCCAGATAATTTTTCCATTTTGAATAGAGACAGGGTTTCACCATGTTGGCCAGGCTGGTCTTGAACTCCTGATCTCAAGTGATCTGCCCACCTCAGCCTCCCAAAGGCTGGGATTATAGTGTCTCTCCTCTGTGTGTGTGTGTTTAAAGAGTCAGGGTGTCTCACTGTGTTGCCCAAGCAGGTCTTGAACCCTTAGGCTCAAGTGATCCTCCTGCCTCAGCTTCCCAAGTAGCTGCCAGGATTATAGGTTCATACTACCACACCTGGTGGGCTTTCTCTTTTTTGTAGTTAGAGGGGCTGGGCTGCAGCTGCATTATTTTGAGGGTTGTCCCAAGGCCCACCTTCCTGCCTAGTGAGGGCTCCAGAACACAAGTTCACTCAGTCTGTCAGAACTCCGGGGGGCAGCGGGGAGGTAGTGCCAGGCATTTTTCCCCAGTGCAGGAGTGAGAGGGTGCTAGCCGGTCCGGAAGTGGGATCCTGAGGCAGCCGAAGGGATTTGCATAACCTTTCAAGTCACTGAACTTGGCGTGTCACCCTCCCACCTTGCTGGGCCCAGGCCCCAGTGAGGAAGGAAGGCATTGTTCAGACCTGGTCTCCCTGCTTTCATCCTCCCCAACCTGTTGAAGGATTTTGCTGGCGGTGAGAGGACACTGCATTCCAGAGGTGCTTAATTTGCTGCATTTGAAAGCCCCTTCCAACCTGGGATTCTGTTATGCTGCTTGGTCTGAGTTTTTGTAGTTTGCTCCAAGGTTTCTCCTGGGGTTCTGCCTTGGAATCCTGGATCCCCCTGAATTGATTGGCAACGGCATTTTTCCTGTTTCAAAGAAAGGAAACTCTGGAATGAAAAATGCATAGCAAACCCTTGACATAGAGAATAAAGAGGGATTGACACAGGGGGCTCACCGGGTCGGGTCAGGTGGTTATCGTACATTTATATATGACTCTTAGTGCACAGTTTTAGGAAATCACTCAGACAGGCTGGGCACAGAGGCTTGTTCCTGCAATCCCAGAACTCTTAGAGGCTGAGACAGGAGGATCGCTTGAGCTCAGGAGTTCTGGGGCCAGCCTGGCAACATGGCAAAACCCTGCCTGTACAAAAAATACAAAAATAGCTGGGCATGGTGGCACATGCCTGTAGTCCCAGCACTTTAGGGGGACTACAGATTGGGAGATGGGCAGATTGCCTGACTCTGTGAATTTTGAGATCATCAGCCTGGACAACATGGCGAAACCCTGTCTCTTTTAAAAATAAAAAAGATAAAGCACCCGGTAGGGTGC